AGAACTTTTGTGAGATCTTGTAATTGTAGAAATACTATACATACAGAGATTATTAGCGACCTTAGAAAAGGTCAAACCACTAGAACATCTTTGATCAGCTCCCAGAATCTAGAAGCCTCGAGGACACATTCCGCAACAATCGAATGGGCGGAGACATGGGAGGAAACTCATGACCATTGCGCGCTCCTCATTGACGTGCTGCTTTTCTTCAACCTGTGGAAGGAGGAGGAAAGTCTTCACCCATTCGTTTATCACGATCCAACGAGAGATTGCGTGAGATCGCCATTGGTCGTAATGGTCCAGTATGCATTCGAACAGCACAATCGCGAGCGGGATTCTAATGTGTGGTACATGCCAAGGGAGGGGGGGGTGATCACCATAAGACCGCTAAGCCTTTTTGCAGGGGCACTTGTCAATGTAGAAATACATGTGCGCACAGACCTGCAAAATTGTAAAGTCACAATGTCATAGGGTATGTCTTGAACTTAAAGACACATTCCGCGATGAGCGCATAGGAGGAGAAAAGGGCGGAGAGAATAGCTGACCCCTGTGCCCTCCTCAATAGTGGGCTCCTACTTCTGGAATGCTGAAGAGAAGGATTACACCAATGAGGAAAGGGCACTGCTTGTAGATTCCCGCCCATTTTTTGCACTCGTCGATCGCGGGATGTGCACTAGTTGTTAGACCATGTCCCGATTCCTTCATTTCTCGCCAGATGAAAGTGCGCAGCGCTCGCTTCGCCGGCTAGGAATGTATCATCAGCTAAGTGAAACCTAATTGAATGAGTGCTTCGGCTGACCTTACACAGAACTAACACCTACAAAAAAACCACAGGCGCCCATAATTCTTTGTAAGACCCACCTTTCGTTCAGCATTGCTGCCTAAGTGCCTACAGTAGGCAACGGACAGATCCTGTCGTGGTAGTTGTGTGAGCAATTGCTTTTCACGATACTTTTCACCGCTTGAGTTCACTCGCGGCACGATGTGATTTGGCAACTGAGCCATGTATTCCTCAACCTGAACAATCGATAATAATCAATAACTATACTCTAGGGCCAGCTGGGTGGTTTGACCACCCTCTAAGCTATTTAATAAACTAACTAAAAATACTATTCAGTCGCTTCTTTCCCTGATGAGATGTACGCGACTGGCCAGATATGCAAGAAAGGGCTAAGACTATAAGTATATAGGAGGGCTATAGACTATAGCCCTCCTGGACGAGTTTGCCCTCCCACTGTTCACCATGGAAACTTACATCGATTAACCATGGAACTTGTCGACTAGCGGCGAATAGTGACGAGACTTCGGTCATGAATTTGATCATGACGGGATCCTCGAGCATGCTTTCCGTTAGCAAACCCATCGTCGTTGCGATGGTCCAGTAGACGAGCCAGGACTGTCCAGAATCAGAATCCGAGCCACAGCTGAACGGTAAATACCGACGATCCGAACAGCGAAGCGCTTCGCGAGACGGTCGAATGATTGGAAATCGTTAGAAACTGGCAGTACTGGGTGAAAAACTTGAAGAAAGTGAGACCTGGGGAAAAACCACGGCCTTGACATGGTCAGAAACAGGTAGCGAAAAAATAGAGAGAGAAATAGAAAAGGGAGAGATTCCAAACAAAAAAGAATTGAAAAATGAAAACGAAGGAGGTATGGGAAGACAGTTGTGGGAGAAATCGTATTCCATGGGCACAAGTGGTAAGGCGAAGGCGGCCGAAATAGGTACATTGGTCCCTCACTAGAAACCATAGCAAAGGCATAGCATACGGAAATAAGGCATAGGTGTGGTCCATAGACAGAGAGCCGGAATCAGTAAGGTGGCCAGAAAGGTGTTGCGGAGGGGGGGGGTAAATTTTGGAGCACCGCATGGGCGCGCACTGAATGTGGGAAAGTGAGAGATTTCTAGGCCGGATGTAGAAAAAAATAGCATAGATCCTTACAAACGAAAGGAAATAATATTCAGGTGAGAAGGAGTAATTATATTAAGTTCCGCATACCAGTAGGAAGAGAGAAGGGTAGGAAGACGAAGAAGAGGAAATGGAGAAGAAAGAGGAACAGGATAAGGTGGGAGAGCATTTTTAATAAGAGTATGAGAAGAAAGAATAGAAAGAAAAAGTGGAGGGGCAGCAAAGAGGAGGAAGGGAAGGAGGAGCATGAGGAACAAAAGGAGCAAAAAGAGCGAAAGGAGCAAAAGGAGTAAAAGGAGCAAGAGGACGAGAAGGACGAGGACGAGGAGGAGAACAAGGAAGAAGAGGAGAGTGAGAAAGTGTACGGGGAGGAAAAGAAGGAGGAGGAAGAGAAAGCAGGGTTACTTCTGTTCTTGATAACGGGGGAATCGAAAGCGCACGAAAGGTTACTACAAAAGTTCGGAAGAGCGGGAACGAGGCGGCAATGGAAGCTTTACCAGGAGGATAACAGACGGTGAGCTGCGCAGGGTGTGACTAGAAGGTCTAAGCTGTTGCTGTCCAGTCCTGCAGCTGGCCAGTCCTGCAGCTCACAGTTATCCGAATCACTCACAAACCACAAACTCCCTGAGATTACAGACGTGCTTTTTTCATGACTTTTCCATCGCAAAGCTCAATTTCAAACACATAGAGCAATCGCGAGCCAGCCGGCGAGTCGTGGCTTAGCCAACACGGGTGCAATGGTTTTTCCCCGCGAAACGGCACAAAAACAATCCACACCGTTTCAAAAACCAAATTTGTTAGTGGTCGTAGGCGACGTTGGTAAACATCGGTCCGTTACAAAGCCGTGACAGTTCCCAGACCGAGAAAAAGTTGCACGGCGCCGTTGCGGAAGAACTTGTCCATTGGATCAAATCTTATTTGAATGTTTATTTCCCATTGTGAGGCGAACAAGGAAAAAAAACGAAGGGTATGGGAAAGGACTGGAGGAAGAGTTGGATGAACGATAGGAAAACTGTTTAGTTATTCCAAAGTGCAGATTGTTCTGCTGCGATGTACATAGTACATGGGTGCTGCGAGTGCTTCTCAATAGAGACCCCTGTAAAGCTTGGAAGAAGTCTTTCCAAGATTTTCCTGCCCAATATTCGAGGCACTCAGACAAGGAAAAGAGGCGAGAGCTACAAGACAGTCAAAAGAAGGCACAGACGCCTTGGTACAGGTCCAGCCTACCGAAATGAGGCCATTAGAAACCCTGAAGGCGTTCCACTTGAGGGATATTAAGTGATTTACGTGGCAACAAAAGACATGATGTGATGGAGTTGATGCGTCATGAACCAGAGTCATACGCATAAGAACCATCGCCGCCTTTACCCACTGCACCATAAGCACTTTGCCCATTAGAACATAAGCACTTTCCCCATTAGAAAGAAAAAGCAAAGCACTACATTCAGCATCCTGAACAAGCTTCACATCACCCATATGTTCTACATCCCTCTCACCACAGCCTCCCCTTACCCCTCAATCACCTTCAGGAGGCCGAAGGCTCAGGCCGACTACTGGTAAAGGGACCCAAAGAGGTCTGTGGGAAGCGGAAAATCATTAGGTCAAATCTAGTCAGTCTTGCCCCATTCTGGACCTGCACAGATGACGCCTAGGAGGATAAAAACGGGATTTAGGCCAACACAGAGATGTAAAGCGCCAATTTGCTTAGCAACCAGAAGAAGCTGAAAAGACTGAGCGATGTCGTAGGGAAGCAACCATGGGCGCAACTCAAACACGTAAAGAATCGAAGTAGTTACCGATACGCTCACCATCAGAATACCTATTGGAGCAACGCTCCAAAGACATCTGCATACTCCAATCCCCCCGGGTGTTATGGGGAATCACAAGAGGGAGAAGGTGAGCCAGAACTCAATTCAAAACCCAACCATCCATCTCGATGTATGCAAGAGCAATGCTTGCTGGAATAGGAAACAGGAGCGCCAGAATTTCGAGACAAAGAGGGCATTCCTAAACGGTTACCACTGCTGCTATGTGGGGCGTCCAATTGGGAACACGATGGTGTTCAGAGGCTCGTGCTGAAGCATGGAGCTCCCTTTGCTCTCAGACTCAACAATGCTATAATCGGCAAGGGCTGGTTCAGCGTTCATTATTCCAAGACACTATGGATTACACGACCAAGAAGAGTCAGAGAAAGAGAGCTGGATCGAAGTCGAGAAGAAGCTCAAGTGATAGGAATGAACTGATAAGAAAGAGTTTGGGAAGGTATGGACTGGAAAGGTTAGCAGTTGGGCAGCAGTTATCTCCAGGTCATATCCGTTATGGTGCACTCAGAGCATCCCTTCTGTGAAAAAGGATATCTTTGTGTGTGCGAGCAGGATTACCGCACTTGAAATTGCCCTTCTCCCCCTTCCCACATTTTAGGCCTAGGGAAAATCTTATACTCATAGGGGCAATCCTAGTTTCGCACAGGGTATCCTTTGAATGCCTCTCCTACCACGACAGCGCCCTATCCCTACTTTCACAGCAATTTAGAGGTAGGGCTGTATCTCAAAACAGGAGCTTTTTTCCGAACTTCAGTAGACTTATTGTAAGGAGAGAATAGAGCGTGAGAGTTCAGAAGCTCGCGCTAGCGAATGGAAATCGAAAAGGTGGAGAGATTCAAAGCAGCGCTCAGAATCAAAAGCAGAGAAATCCTCCTAGAGGTGGACACAGCGGGGAACGACACGCGCTGGACTGAGGGGACTCTCAGCCGTTTCTCCTCTTTATAAGCAAGAAACACTACGGAAACAAGAGGATGAAGAAATGAACGAGGCCAATTATACCGAGGCGAAGGCCTAGATTTCAAGATTGAATTGCCGTATCGAAATTGCTTCCCACCACATTTGAATCGCAGCGATTTTAATTCAAATCCTTCAATCACAACAAGATCGAAGCGGTTGGACGACGGAAAATCGCTTGTGAAGGGAGCCAAGGTAGAATCTCTGCAGACAACTCGTCGCCTGAGTTACAAGTGCTTGTGGACTCTGACAGCAAAAACTCGGACAGTGCAAAAAATGCCACCGTAATCCGGGAGATCCTCGGCGGAATGCGTGAATATTGTGGAAGTCGTGGAGGTAGTCAAGAAAACGATCCGAGTGTTCGGGAGTGATTCTCCGTGCGGTGATAGCAATAATACTTACGGTAAATAGGAACGGAACAGCAGCAGCTACAACTGAAGTGGAAAAGGGGCAGAGCGTAGACATCGAGAGTCCAGGTGAATAGTCAAAGACGCAGAGAACCCACAAAAAGATTACCTCCCGACGAGATGTCATAACAAGTAACCAGTCAAAAAACTAACACTCAGTCCATCTGTCCAGTCGCGTCACTCATTTGACATCAGTAAAACCCCGTTTCAAAGCACTTCTACTCAAAGATTTATACCTACACATACCTCTTGAACACAGTAATGCTATACTCACCTTCTTACGAGTCAATCCAGGCGGGACCCATGCGTAACCGTGGCTCACCGAACCGGGTGTGTCGTCACGGGTACTGCTGATCGGCATGTTTGCTGTAATTAAAATTTGTATTGTATAGCTAAGAACTACATGTGGATTCACTAGAAACCACTGTAGAGACATATTTGTATTTATTATTTATATTATTATTTGTATTTTGAAGACAATGAATTTATCACTCCATCCGAAAGATGGGGAGGCGTGGCTGCGTTCACAGCGACAGCTGCTTGCGGAAATTTAACTATTATCGTCCAACATCATTATGACAGCTTGTCTCAATGGAAAATTGCCCTAGGCGAGCGTTAGGCTATTGTTCAAATTGGTGAATGCAAGCAACGCTCCCCATCTACGTCGACATGGATGCCGGAACTTGAAGATTCAATGAAGGGTGTTTAAGATAAGAAAAGACCTATTATAAATACTGGACTGGCAAGGAGAATATTTTGAAAAGGAATGGCCCAAGGGGTTTTATTTTTTGATAAATTAGAGATCCAGTTATTGGTGTAGAATGATTATAGAAGAGGCAAATCTTTTCGAAACGTTTTAGACTGTTCCGAAAAAACTGTGATTTTGCAGAGCATCCTTCAAAAAAGTATAAACAGCGTTCTTAAAGACGCTGTAGCATGCTGATACAGGAGGGGGCAGGGGAAGAGTTTATTCGATCTTTTCTCCCTGGTGCGTATCCTTCTGGAAGAAGCTGATGCTACGAGATGGGCACGACTGCTGACTGTTCGCATTGTGCTAAAGGGGAGGCTGTTGTTTGAGATGTCTCTTCGTAAGTTTTCATTAATTCCTATCTTTCTCTTTCATCGTGCTCTTATTTATAGAGGTCCCCCATAAGCGGTCATTTGGGAATATAGGACTCAGAAACAAGATGGACACCGTTCTCCGGATAAAAAGTAAATGTAGATGGGCTCCAGGTGTTTATATTAATT